GGACTTCACTTTCTGCTGACTGACCAGGCCAAGGGAGAACTGATTTCTTACTCTGTTACCCCATGAGTGACCTGTGAAGTACTGTTTTGTTTTTTTTTTCTCCCCCATTGCTGGAAAAACACTCCATTGGTAAGCCAAGTGTTATCCCCTGGTCATTAAATACTAACATTTTGGGTGCGAAGCTCTGGTTCCCAGGCCCCCAGCAGCCGATGACCTGAGGCGGTCTCTCCCACTCTGAAACTCTCTGCATTCATTGAGTTTCCTGGCTGACGCTCTTGCTGGTTTTAGGGTTAGGCTTTGGGGTTGCTTTTCTGCACTTTTCTCAATGCTGGAATAAACGTGTCTGCACAGCTGCTTAGGAGATCAGCCAATAGGAACAACCTCATCTCCTTGGAATTGCCCTGAAATTGGACAAAGTCTGAAAGAACAAACCTACTTTCCTAAGACTGGATTGGAAGCCTGGAGATAGGGTACAGATTTATTTTGATCACTAAAACAGAATGTAAATAGAGTGGGGATTGTTGTTGTTATTTAGGTCATTTTTTCAGTTGTTTTAGTAGGTGAGACCACGCAATGTTTTCTCTGATCGTAACAATATTGCATTTAGAGATGTGCGATAATATCGGCTGACTGATATTAGCATATCTCTTTTTTTTTTTTTTTCTCTCCGGTAATGAAAACCCGATAATGTAATGTGTTGGAATCACTTTAAAAATGTATTTTGTGCCGACAATGCTAATTTAAAAGTAGGCGAGATATGTCATGTGAAAAATGGTATCAATCAATCTGATTGGACGGATCGGTTGCCTCGATTCGGCCAGCTGTGGGTTGCCAGTTGATGTCCGCTGACATTGAACGTGTGTTTTCGGAGGCTTCAATTTCCGGTCAGACAACGAGCTTGCATCAGAGGAGCCTCACTGATTGCAGGCAGTAAGTCAGTGCACAGCTGACAAGCTGACTGACACAATGGTGTCAGTCAGCTCTTTTACGAGGGACCGTAGACTGATAAATAATGTCGAGGACAAGGATTTTACTGCAGGGAGTCTATGAAAAGTGAGTGGGTGGAAAAGCCCACTGAGTGTTCCTGCACGGTGATTGGACCAACTGTTTGGGAGGTGGCTCCGTTTTATTGACAGCACTTTAAAATTTGCACTAGAACATTTTCTTCCTATACACAGACGTACTGCGTCGGTGTTCACTTTCTTTGTTTACATTGAAAACAATTCTTCACCTTTCCGGTTTTCCAGGGCAGCAGTGTTACTGTTATATACACTAGGTCACTGCAGATAGTCGGAAAAAGAGGTCATCTCGGAGTCTTCCACTAGAGATACTCCATGTTATAATTTCCCATGAGGCAGGATGGATCTGAAATAAAAGATATTCTTTGTACTTTGAAAGCCTTATTCAAACATGGGTTAGCTGTTGGCCGTCACTTTCCACAAAACCGAGGAGTCTAGAGCAGAGGTGTCAAACTCATTTTCTCCGGGGGCCACATCAGCAATACAGTTCCTCTTGAAGGGCCGGTTGTAAATGAAAAAGACTCTATAGATCAGAGGTCCAAACCCCTGGTCCACAGACCAGTACCAGACCGTAGGTCATTTTTGATTCTGGGCTGCAAACCCTCCAGACCACCACCAATCCCCCCCCCCCCCCCCCCCCCCCCCCCAAAAAAAAAAAAAACCTCTGCCACCTGGTAGTCCCTGTGGACTAGCTAAGGTGCCCATGTGATATGTAAAAATAATTCTAGTCAACAATAGGGTTGAAAAATTGTACTGTTACTGTGCTTTTTGAATCAGTTACATCGAGTGTCTGCCATTGGATGTCCCAGAACTGATTATTATTACATTGTTTGCGAAGTCTGTATCAAACAAGGAGCTCTTTGTGTTACTGAATGCCCTTGAAGTAGCTCTCAAAAAGGTTGGAGACCCCTGGACTAAGGTTTTTTCTTAGTGAATGCTGTGCTGTGCATCGTGTTCTCTGTGCTGTTTATCACCTGCATGAATTCAGTATGTAAACGGCTTCCTACGGGGCGCGAAATTAACAGCGGAATCATTGTGGAACCAAGTGAGAATGATGTCATTTGGTGTCGTCTGCGCCGCCAGTTGTATCAACATTATGACAAGTTTACACCGACGGAGTACCCCAGCTTTAAACTGCAGTATTCTCTACTGTATGTGCTGTATGTTACGGTCAATGACAAGCTCGTTTATTTCTTTACCTTCAGGTTACTTTTCTGTCACTATCATTCCTCACCTCTTTACTTTCCGGGGGCAGTCTGAGCTTGTTATAAGGGATGTAAGTGTCTCCCAGCCCTGAAATATAGCAACTCCTCAGACAGAAATCCTCTCCAGCGCTCACAGCGACATCCCATTCAGCACGGAGCACTCTGATCCGTCACAGAACCTTCCGACTGAGCCCCCTTGGGCTTGTTTGTGGCACTTTGGGTCTCAAGTGTCGGCTGAGGGAATAACATTGCTTCTGTGGCTGCCGTAACTTTCATCAAGTTCCAGAGTTTACAGAGGCTGAAGGAGCTTTGAGCTGGAGGGGCAGACAAAGCCTCTGCTTGGCTCATAACTGTCTCTGAAAGCAGAACCTTTGAGAACCTGGACTGTCTTCTGAAGATTGCATTATCCAGCACTGCCTGGTGCAGGGGATAATTTGGCACCAGAGGAAAGTCTGGGGCTAATTAGGAGCTGGTTATTAATATGACAAGATAACAAAAGGTTTGCAAGTTAATCGCAGCTTTCTTACCCACCAGTGGTGATTAACTTCAAATAGAAGTCTGCGACTGCTCTTTAAATAGTCTTAGAACAATTCATATAATTATCGTTGAAGACCCATTTATGGTGGGATCAGGAACGTAATTCTCCTTCCATTAAACATGGCTTTTTTGTATTTCTCCTCCTTCAGAACTACATCCCTGAGGATTCGGCTTTTTTTTTTGTAGATGACAAGAAATAAGATGCAAATGGGGCAAAAGATATTTTTGGATGAAAAAAACTACTTTTTTGCGAGGCTGCCGAACTTTGTGATCGGCAGTTGCTTCCACTGCTTCTTTTTCCAGTCGAAGAGTAGCTTGTAGGAAGTGATGATGTCGTTGATTTTGTTGCTAAATTGGACTGATCGAACCATATCATCGTCCCATTCTTTTGACATCTACAGTAGTCGTGAATCTGCGAAAGATGAACCGCAAAATAGCGAGGGACTACTGTAACTAATTATTATTCTTTGACTTTCATGTATAAAAATCAGTTCAAATAAAATGTTGAAAATAACAAAATGTCTATTCAGTAATCTGCTACTCTACAACACAGTATAACAAACAGGATCAAAATCTAATTCTAGGAGAGAGAAAAAAATGTCTCTAGTGCGTTCAGAATCTGTGCTGTCAAAACGGGGTCACAAGCTAAAAAAAGGTTGGAAACCACTGGACTTTTGAGAATTCCCATCATGGCTCTTTTGTCCATGCTGTCAGTGTGAATGAATGAGTGACTGATGACTGTAGATTTATCTCCTTTACCACACAGTTCACGGTCATTCATTTCTGCCCTTTGGGAACACTGTGGCTGAAGGTAAAGGTCAGCCTGTCCCAGCTGAATCTGACCCACATAATGTGACTTTAGTCTCTGTCCATTTGATATCACGTTAAAGGCAGTGTATGCAGACGTCGTATTGTTTCGCAGGTAATAAATGGACCCTATGCTAGCTATGTCAAAGTCAATCACTAATGGGGAATTAAACACAGTTTTTGGTCCTGTTTACGACACGATACGACTACAGCAGCCCCCGTTTGAAAAGAGCCACAGAATATGACTCTGGTCCCTGTAGTACATAGGCCAGGCCTGTATGTGGTGCCGTGTGAACCACGTTCTAACATACTAACACCAGAAGAATTTGAACTGGAAAGTTCAGATTACTGGAAAAGAACCCACAGCGCAAGCGTATAAATCAAACTGTAAACAAACTTGATGAAGAAACAAAATGGCTGAGATGGCTAACTTTAGCACAAGTAGCTGAATTAGCTTGTCTAGCACAGTCAGAAGGAGCCTGGAGTAAAAGGTGACAGAGTGGCGGGGTTGACCGTATTGTGCCACTCTGCTCCCTCTGGTACCCATATATGGTGAGGACTCCGCCCCAACATTCGTCTAAACACGAGGCCAAATCGGCGTTGTTGCTCTGAAACCCAGAGCCATATCATCACTGCGTAAACAAGCCTTTAGCTGCGAGCCACACAGGATCAATATTTACTACTAGAACCATACAACCATACAAAGATCTGGTGGGCCGCATAAAATGACAGGATGAGCTGTATTTGGCCTGTGGGCCTTGAGTTTGACACGCGCCCATCGGATTGGTGAAGTTGCTGATTCGAGCAATCACACCCCGTGTCAGTGCCCTGTTTCCACATGCTTTAGTGTAGCAACTCGTGCTTGTTCATACTGTGTGTGTTCGCGTCAGTGCATCGGAGGTCACATTGTGTCCCCAAGGCGGCCGATATGTGCCACAACCTGCCTGTTGCTAAGCTGCAACCTGCTCTGGGGTCGATCAATCTAGCGCTGCGAAATCAGATTGTGCGAGTCTGGGTGCTGTGCACCAGACTGTTGAGGTGAAGAGGCAGCTGAGGCAAATGATGAGGGCGTACTTGAGGGAGATCTCAGCGTTAGATCTCGCTGCCGGGAAACGGCAAGTCATTGGAGATTTAGCCCACGTGTCTCTGCAGCACACGCTGCCACCGAGCCCGGGTTTATCCTCATATCAGTGCCGGTGATCAGCTCTTGATTACAAAAGGGGAGAGGAAAACAGAGTAATCAAGTGTTTTCAACAGGGCAGCTGCAGTGAAGAGACAGTGGGTTAAATATAATATATAAAAAAAAAGAAGTTTATGCCATGAAGGGTTTTTAAGCTTGTCTTAAAAAACAAATCTTATGCAAACACTAATGTTGAAAGATGGAATATAAAATGGTGTCATTTAGTTTAGTAGTAGTTTAATTTCTAATCTCTTTTCACTTTCCTTTGCCTTTATTTTCACCTAAGATTCAGCATCCACACAAAACACAAGACGAGATAAGATTCAAAATGTATTATTTTCTTTTATACACATGTTATCATTTCGGATGTACACTGCATGGCGGCTGGACCGATCCTGGTCAGAGAATCCAGAGTTCAGCCGAGGAGCAGATGGGTCAGAGGAGAGATTTGGAAAAGTGAGGAGACTGTGAAATCATCAACCTTCACTTCAGCCAGACGTTTTTGTCCCCCATGTCTGTGTTGTAACCGGGAGCGTACTTTTTCCCTGGGAGCTGCAAAGAAATGGAAACAAAAGAAATAATTAATTTGAGTAAATGATCCAGAGAATATGTATGTGTGTATATATATATATATATATTTACATAATTGTTATCTTATGTCATAATTATTATATATAGACGATTTTGCAATGCCAAACAACTCAACTGCAGAATGTTGGGGGGGGGGGTTCAAAGTAAAAATATGCCTTAAGCCTGAAGGAGGCAGGATTACTAAAAGTTGGACAACTCCTCACAAGCCTCAAACATCTTGGCCTCAGACTGTTGAACTGACATCAAGGCTGCCGAGGTCCTTGTGCGACTTTACTACACAACTTTAAACGTGTAGACAGACATTACATGGATATTACATTACTGGATCAGGGCGGATCCAGGCTCATGACAGAATGTCGGGTCACAGCCTTCCGCAGCATAATGCAGTGTGACTTATTTATTTATTTAGTTTTTTGCAGCAGGGAAGGAGGGAGGAGGGGAAAAAAATCCCCAGTCAATAAACAGAAAAGGTCAAACCCAAATGTTTCCCTGCAAGACTGATGATACCGAAAGCCCCGCAGAATATTCCACATCTGACATTTGCCTCCATGTAACTACCAGTCGCTCAATATTTCAGCCGAAGAAAATTACTTCAATCACACCGACAGTGAGGCTCGGGGCTTTGCGTCACAAAAGGTAAAAAAAAAAAAATCATAAAAATAACTCAATATAAAGAGGATTAGTTTCGATGAAAGGCATGGTGTCAGTTTGACTAAAGTCATATGGACCACGGACGTGATAACTAATCGTCAGATGGGAACGAAACGCTGAAACAAAAGAGCAATGTGTCCGCCTTAAATGTCAGGACGTCGACACAGCTGCGCACTTAATGGCCAGGAGGAAGTCTCAGCGCCGAGGTCTGTCCACATCCTTCAATTCATTACGATGACAAGGGTTTCCTGACGGTGAACTTCCACAGTACACATGCTAGAATAATTCTGTTCTACACCTGTGGTCATCTTGATCAATGAAGGCAGTCGAGGAGGCCCAGGCACAACAGGACATGATCAAGAGGTCCTTAAAAATGTTGGTATTAAGACTAGTCACCTGTCCAGGGCGAGAGGACATCCCTGTTGATCAACCAACGCACAAGCGTTGGCTTTAACTTCCCTTTGACAACACAGGCCAAACAGTATAAACATCAATTTTTTGGTTTCCAATTTTCTGGTACATGTGACTTGTTGATAGTGATAAGTGTTGTTCAGCAAAAAAAAAGAAAGAAAACTAAATTCTCATCACAAGTAATTTTGAAAAATTTCCTGCAAATTGCTCTCTGCTTTGCTCTTCAGTTCCACTTAGAATGAAGTGCTTGGTGACTGGAATGAGGTACTACATGAAAATGGTTCCTGTGCACCCAACTTTCTGACAAAGGAAAAATCTTTTCAATGACTTGAAGAAACAAAAAAAATTGAAGACCTCTATTTACCCTCGTCTTAAAATCAGTACAAAATGTAATAAATAATAATGAAGTCCAAATGTAAACTCCGTCTTTATAAGTAATAAATGCTGTGGGTAGCGAAAGATAACAAAAAAGGGTTTTAACTAGAGATGTCCTATATAATACTAATAACCGCCCCTTTATATCAGTATGGATTGATATTGGAATTGGAAATGAAATGTTTGGACAATATGGACAAAAAGTTAATATCCGACATCCCTAGTTTTAACTGCCAACATGAGCAGGGACCGCAGCGCTAGTGAGTGCTTTTGACAACCAAACTCATCAACTACATGTTCTGTCACACTAAACAAACACACACAGGACCAGACCAACTCCAGTATGTCTGAAAAAATATAACACAGACGTTAGGACATTTAGGTTGTCTAACCTGCTACTGTAACTTTGATTAAAATCGTCAGGTGAAGAGACCGGTACCTGTTTCAATCACCACGACATCCCCAGTTCTCGCTCCTCTCTCTCTTCCTCCACCGTCTCTAAGTGACTGCTCATTGTGAAAACCGCAGCCTTTTCCCTCTTTGTAATATGCTAAAGCCTTGACCTTGCTACAGTACATGAAGCGCCACTATATGAATATAATTGAACTGAATTCCTCTGAGGTTTCTGTGACCCCTGCAGAACGAACATGACGGCAGTGAAGGTGTCACCGTGTATGAGAACAGGAGCCTCGGAGGGATACGGCTCAAAGTTTGGCTAAAACCTTCCCTTTATTGTCGTGTGCTCCTGCTGCCACCTAGTGTCGACAAAGTGGAGGAGCATATGGCAGGGTTTCATGAGGACTCATTCGGGCTCATACTATGGATGGACTGCGAAGAACAATTGTAGTTTTCATAAAGACTGGCTACCAATACTTGTGTGTATAAATACACATATCTATGTATATAGATATACCCTCTCTACATATACACACATAATAGTGACTGTCAAACCAACAGCAGTGAAATGTTTCAATACTGTTAGATGTCTGTGTAAATCCCATTGATGCTGAAAAAACTTTTGCAAAAATCTCACAACATATTAATTCAGCGCATGTTTACACAGCACCTTATGGCAAACTTGGCCGACACAGCAGTTAGAATTCAGTGGCACTAAGTAAGCACTTCAGCAGCAGCTGGTGAGCAAAACATTTCAACTACTAATCAGAGGAACAGAGCTGCACTTTCAAAACATTTTATGCGCTCAATCAAAACTGTAGGCTATGTCCTTTTTAAATTTCTTCAACAAATCCTGATCAGACGATAGTGCTACAGAACCACTGTTGTGTTTTAGGTTCTGTCTCCACGTACCAATTTGAAGGCATGGTACTTCTCGTCAAACTCATGCGCCCCGATGGTAATCTCCGGGATTAAATTGGGTATTATGGCCAGGTCTACGACACGTTTCTTGTTTTGCACTCTGTAAATTGGTATAAGAAAAAAAATTCAAGTCAAGGGCGGTGCTCATAACAGCAACTACAGCAACATTTTCACCTGGACTTTAAAGATGGTGGCTGTAATTTTGGGATATTTAAAAAGTAAATGTTTTTGAATTTCGGAGAAACTTACAAGATCCTGATGTAGTGCAGGGCAATGTCGTCCAATTCCACCCACGGACCTTTGTTGTACTGCAAAGCCTCAATGTCTTCCAGAATCTGTGGACAACAGTTTAACGTCACGCAGTTAAATGAAATAAATCAAAGAATTTGTAAGACGTTTGGTCGATTTAAGAGCAGTGACTGTCAACGTCACTCATTACCATTTCCATATCCTGGGATTTCTCAGTGTCATAGTAGAGAAGTTCAGCCTCCTCACTGGGAAAAAGACAAAAATGAAAATCTTTTTTTAGGTAAAAGATAAGAGTTTAAACACATGACAGTTTGATTGTGTTGAGAATTAGGAATGCCACAATCGCTCAAAATACAAGCAAGGCAATTTCAACGACTTGTGTTTTGACTTTTTATAAGACCATTAAGGGTTAGATGAGTAGCATGGAGTCTGAGATTAAAAACATAATTTCTATTCCATTAAATTAGCAGAAGGATTCAAACCTTTTCTCGCACTCGTCTCCCTTAAAAGACTTTCACATAAACCTCACACAGACAATGTAAAGTGACGTCCACCAGCTTTGATGTTTGTAAATGTGCAGAGTCAGGATTCTTTTTTTTTACCCTCTCTCAACACCTATTACTGTAGACCTGATGCCTTGTCCAGCCATAAAATTTAATTTTCTGATGACACCACCAACATCGGGCTCATCAAAGAAGGAGGTGACTCAGCAAACAGTGGTGAAATAAAGAGACTGTCAGGAAGTTACTTGACACTGAGCCCCAGAAGAACCAAGCAGTTAGGTCAGACTGCACATCTAACGCCTTTGGGTATAAATAAGGCGGATGTGGAAGAACGAGAAAACCTTCACTGGTCGACAAGACCTGGGATGGCCCTTAGTGAGAATGTCATACAGAAAGACAAAGCCACCTTAATCATGGCTCAATAGACTAACGTCTACCTCTAAATTTTAGGGACAGGTTTGTCCCGGGATGAAGATTTTTAGGTTTTTGAACCAACGAGAAGACAGTCAGTAACAGCTAGAGCCAATGGCCACAGCGATCGTTCACAGATTGTTACAAATGGGTTAATTTAAGTAAACCTTTCAGACTTCGTTGTGTTAGTATTGGAGTCAAAGTAAACCCTTCAGACTTCGTTGTGTTAGTATTGGAGTCTGGAAGGTGTATTATTTTGAAAAATTGCCAGATGATATTTAAATTAATTAAGTAAATGGAATCCTCTGGCTTTTTTTTTAATTGCTTAAATTATTAATTATTTCCGGCCCAACACAAAATACGTTTATTTTACCTCATCGCAGGCAGGAACTTGTTCTTGTATCGGTCTTCAATGTGCTTCAAATATGACAGGGAGACATTCTGAAGATGGGGATGAAGAGATGTGGTTCAAATCAGTGAATAAACAGGGCTCTTACAGTTTAACTGAAGAAAAAATACATTTAAGACTTTATAAAAACACGAAGATGCAATATTTAAATTTTTTTTTTAATTGCAAGTACATGCAAGTGTGGTTTTACCAAAGAGTTCACCTACCTTGCCACTCTGTTTCAACTTAGTGTGCACCTCCTCAGCCGGCACATCGATGTAAATCGCACAATGTGGGGGCACGTAGTCACAGATGCTGATCTCTTTGATCATTTGGTAATGTTTTACACCTAAGGGTCACATTTGAAGTGTAAGTGTAACGTTTAACAAAATCTAATTTGTAAGTCACAGTGGAAGACTTACTATTCCTACTGATGTACCCCTCTTTAAACATGGCATGCAGGAAGACCTCATCACTATAGGGAGAACGCTCCAGAACCACTCCTTGGCCTAAAACACAAGATAAAGAATTTAAAAAAAGAAATGTTTAATTAGTATTTTTGTTTTTTGTATGGTGCCATTACCTGTAGAGAAAAGATGTTCAAGGGCATCGCTGTATTGAAGCAGTCTCATGAGATACATCCACAACTGCAACCTGGAGCTGTTTCCATCAGGTGCTTTGGGGTCTTCGTAGAACTTCTCCATACTGCACATCCCATTATAATCAATGTGCAGTGGCTCCTTCTCTCCCAGCACCCTGTCCAAGTAAAATTGGTCCGCCTCAGGCATGTAGAGCATCCCTGCAGATACCAAAACACCAGTTACTGAACACATGTACATTTAACAACAAATTTTGTTTGTTCTCACAAGAAAAAAATCATGGGCCTTTAAGTGATCTTTAAAATATGCATTTAAAAAAATGTATGTAGGATTTTAAAAATATAAATGAATGCATTTAAGACAGATGTTAATGAATATGAAACAATCTGAAAAAGGAAAACATCCAAACACATATATAAGTCGATTCTACTGTTCATGTAGTGTGACAGTTACCCAGGCTTTCTGCCAGTTTCTTAGCCAGTTCTCCCTTCCCCGAGGACAGGTTTCCATCCACAGTAAATATTCTGCTGAGGTGATTAAACCGTGTTGTTGTTCTTTCACCCATCAAATAGGCTAAGTGACCATATCTTAGACTCCTCGTTGAGCTTGTGGATAAACATGCCTTTGTAGGACACAAAATACCAGAAAGAAAAAAAAACACAGATTATGATCATCAGTGCAACATGCATCATCATTAAAACGCGTTTTGTTGTGAATCTTAATTGATCCGCTTTGGATGACGTTCTTCGGCAAAGAAGTAAACATCAGCAGTTAATTAAATGGTTCAATAAAACGTCGCACACATTCTACAAAAATATCAAATATTACCGAATGGAAATTCATTACTGCCTTTTGTCGACATTGTAAACAAACCGACTGTTGTTATGATGACAGCTAGAAGCAGTGCTGGCTGCAAACAAGCTAGCTAGCTAGCCTTACTTGTCCTTGGCATTCACAAGGTACAAATAAGATATTTAATCCAAACGTTTCTGCACATACCTTCTGTGCAACATTTGCTGCCCTGAAAACAGTTGTTCCCGATGGGATGATTTGCCCGATCACCCTCAGGGCCATGTTTACCTTCCTTATATACCTTCGACCTGACCCGAGGAAGAACAGTAATTCTTGACGGCAATGGAATTCTGCGTCACAGTTGGGGCCTTCGTATAGTCTCGTCTCATATAATACACGTCAAGAACCGTCCCTTCATTCGCCTGAATAAATTCCACCCTTGACGCGTAAATGTTATAAATAGAAGATAAACGTTTCGGTACATAAACCAAAGACAACATTGACTATCCTCATTTAAAGAAATACCGTCCGGCGGGGTTAAAAGAAACTTACCTTTGTGATAAACTGTTCAACTACCCTTAATTTAAATGTAAATATTACACTTTTAAGTGTATGCAATAAAAAAAGAGACCTGTTCTTGGCACCATGTGTCTGCTTCCAGAAATTAAAGTGTTCTCTAGAGGTTTAACCTTCACAATTTTCTTAAATACAATTGGAATATACTTAAAACACTCTTAAAACTAGTTGTTGACTTTTCGTGCTGCCCTAGTTTAAGACCCAAAGGTTTTTTGCTTCTTTTATTCTGCATTGATGAAGTAAAATGAGATACGTTTTTTGTATTTGTGTAATTTAAGACAAAACGTCAGTAAATCAATAGTGTCCGTATCTGTTTTTGTTTTACAACAGCACCAACATGGCCATGTCCTTCAATACACAGTCCACAAATCTTCGTTCAGCCCTAACGTTTTCTTCAGCTTCTTACATCTTTAACATTCTTCGCTCAATTTATCCATTGTCTCTTTTTGGTAGATGTCCATTAAAGCCCCACCTCTCTGTCTTGATACCAAAATATTTTTCAATGTTAAAAAACAAACAAACAAACAAACAAAAAACTGACAAAGCAGACTTTAATCATCTTTTTGTCTAACACAAATGTATTATACAGTTCATATGGTTTTCATGCAGTTTGAAAACTAAAACTTTCAAACTGAGTTAGCCAAACTGTGTTAGCCTGAAGCTAATGTTCCCTGATGTCACCCTCCGTGGAACTTGAAACGACATGATCTCACTTTCAACTCATTTTAACCCCTGCATTAATGATCACATCAGAGGGAAATTATACCTCAACAAGGCATTAAATCATGTTTTCAATGCGAGTTATGTTAAGGACCTGGACTGGAGTGTCAAACAAGGCTTGTCCTTTTATTATGTCTTTCTAACAGAGTAATTATTCACCAGAGGTACAGCTAGTTACAGAGGTGTGGTGCTTGTCGACTTGATCCTTATAAATAGCCTTTCATTAAACCATTGTGCATCATCTAAAACGCACAAGGAGAACAATGACAAAAGTCTGTTCAACAAAAACGTAAATAAATTGTTAATTATCTCCATAATTCAGATTTTAAAAAACATGCTAATAAATTACCATCTCCAGTTTCTCACGTTTTCACGCACTTGTGTGTTTTCCCTGCAGCTACGACCTCATTATGTTCGGAAACTGCTTTTACATAACACCTCCAACTTGTCAGCGTACTTGTGCAGCTCCCAGGCTGTTTACCTCGGTTGGCATGGAAACCGGCAGTCAAAACATAGCTGACAATCGACTCGACCACTTCATATTTCATAGGCCACACCGCGTGAGTGCCAGCGAACAGTCGAGTTCGCTTGCACAAACTTGGCAGCAGTAATGTTTCAATTGTTCAAAAAAACAAAAACAAATAATGATCGCCTTATCATCTGACATCTCTTCCTGTTCTTGAAGGAGATTATTGTGGCACTATTGGTTTCAAATACATGCACTGCAGTTTTAAAAAACGTTTGCAGAACAACAATAAAGAGGAGAAGAAGTTCACCTGTGTTTGTACTTACGTGAGTCGTACAGACTTTCTAAACTCCCAGACACTTATTTATACGTTGCAGTTGTAGGCGTCAAGCTACATTTAGCCCACAACATGTGTAGGCAATTTGTAGTAAATGCATCAATGGAAATCCACATTGTGTAGCCGAGGTTGGAATTGGTCCCACAGGAATGTGACACGACACAAAAAGAATTCAATTCACATCTGATTCATCTGTTTTACATCGGAGGTGTTTATTTTGAGGGTTGTTTTCAACTAAGGAAGTATACGGAAGTATCTCATCCTATTTGCCTCATCTTACCCTCATACGAACAGAAAGGTAGGAGTGAAGACGTTTCTCACAGGAAATGATGCCAAAACATCCGTAGGAATGTGTCAACTTGGTATTTTGTTGACACAAATTTCTGTCCCTTAACGTCTCATCCAAAAACCAAGATGAGCTTTGGTTATCAACACTCCTCAACATTCATACGATCAGCCTGTGTGACCAAGAATCCGATTTTTTAAGGCATATTACCGTTACATAATCCAAACTGTACTCAACCTCCAGGGCATGGAACCAGCATTGCACTATGAGGACAGATTTAACTCTAGTGATTCTCTTTAAAATTAAATTAGAGTGGTGAAGTCTATCACCACACTTATACCACATCTTTATGAATAATGTAGTACGTTAGGGCAGTGTTTCCCAAACTTTTTTTCTGCAACCCACCTGAGGGTCGCGACCCAGTCTTTGGGAAATAATGCGTTAGGGAGAGACAAAAAAGTGTGGCTCATGAAGGGGAGGGGGAGCAGATCCTGATTTAATTTCCAGTATGTTTTGTAAACGTGGGTAGTGGTCTCGAAACGTTCGTGAAATAAACCAACGTATCACAACATACCCTAGCTTCTCTAGGAAAATTGTTAAGTTAATGTTTGTTATTTAAAGATGTTGCCTGCAGTGATACAACAAGCTTTCTGTGATTTTCTTTTTTTTTTGTTGACTTAACTCAGTGTTTTTCACCCCACACAGGATCACCTGGAAATGTCTATTAAATGGTACTGACAAAAATATTTTTTCAACTAATTATTATTCTTTTTAAAATCAAATGTAGCATTTAAAAATATCTGAGCTGGCACATGTTGATTAAAGGCTGCGGTCATGTGACTGCACAAGTGACAACTCCTTGAGTTCCCGCACTTCAACCTGTCTAAACACAAAATCTCTGTCAGTACGGAATACCATTTTTTTCATAATTCATTGTTTGAGAGATTATGTGTTCAGTATTAATTTTCAGCCTTGTAAAGACAAGCTCGCCTAACTGCACAAAATGTCACTGTGCACTAATCTGTCAAAAACAAATTCAAAAAACGAATTCTAGAAGTAAGACGAAATGTCTCTTGGGGGGTTGCCAGAAATTTGTGATGTCAAAATGGGGTCCGACTGCCTTAACTCCAACCCTTATTTGCAACAGGACAAGTAGTTGTGCACACATGGACAATTTGGTTTGCTAACCTCTCTGCTGCCATCTGGGTGAAATCACTGGTTGTACAAACAGCAATTTTCACCCAGGTTGTCTAGGTTATTGCTGCCTACTGGGCAGAACAAATTTCACCAAATTTAGGCAGCGTTTTACCAAAATTACCGGACTTGGCTTTAAAACAAAAAAAACCCTCCATGCTTCATTTAGGGAACGACGTGTGCAACAGAGTGTGTGCCACTGATCCTTCGCAGACAGCACTGAGAGATAAGTTCCCACAAACAAACACACACGCTGGTAGGCTGCCAACGCTTTCTTGAGCATACATCCTGACACACAGGAACTGGATTAATTAGTACACAGTAAAACAACAATGGTGCACATTCAGGTCTCATGCAGCTGAAACCCAGTGAAGGCCAGCGGAGAGCCTGAGCAGTTCTACCGCATGTCTGCCAAATTTCCCCTGGTTTAACAGCAGATTTTATTTCGCTCCTCTGCAGTTTGGACCGGTTTAACAGTGCCAGTGGGAAGGAGGTTTGTCTGCGCTGTTTATCATTATAACAACTGAAAGGCACGACAACCAAAATAGCAGGCTGCAGTTTCTGCTCTCCACTGGGCTTGCCTTAAATCATACCGAGAAACTTT